AATCCTATTTTTCTTGCACGACCTAAGACTTGCTCTAAAATACGGTTATGGGACTCTAAAGTGTCTGCATGGATTAAAAAATCGTCCATCATTATTTTTAAACCTTTTATATCACCAAAACGTAAAACCATCTCATTGTGAAATATTTCAGGGGCTGCATTTATGCCAAAGGGAAGTCTAAGAAACCTGTATCTACCAAAAGGTGAAATAAATGTACAAAGCTTAGATGACTGCTCATCTAGAATTAAGTTCCAAAATCCTGATCTAGCATCTAATGTTGAAAAATAACAAGAACCATTGAGTTCTGATTTAATATCATCAATATGTGGAAATGGAAAATGAGAACGCATAATGGCATTATTTAACTTACGTGGATCAAGACATAATCTAATGCTGCCATCTTTTTTAGACACAATCACCATTGCACTGACCCAACTTGTTGGTTCATCAACCCGAGCTATTATTCCTGTTGATTCAAGTTTTTTAAGTTCTGCTTTCACTTTATCCTGTAATTTAAAAGGTATTTTTCTACATGCTTCGACAGAGGGGTTGATATCAGGCTTAAGTGTTAAATGACATTCATAATTTTTAATTGCTCCAATACCATTGAAAACATCATTATATTTCCCTAATAAATTATGACAATTTGACTGTGAATTGGTAATTAGTGACTTATTTTGACTGACTTGTTGACTATTGTAACTAGCCTCTGACTTTATTTGACCCTGACTATGAATGTTTTCATCAAATGTTACTGATTGGATTCTTTTGAGTAATTTTAATTGTTCACATGACTGTCTTCCAAGTACATTTCTGCAATTTATGCCTGTAATATAAAAAGATAAGACATACAATTTGTTTTTGACTTGACAAGAAATTTGACAACAACCAATTGTAGGAATATTTTGTCCTGTGAAAGTTGACAAAGTATATGGAGTTTTTGTGAGCTGTGTTTCCGACAATGCTAGTTTATTAAATGTTTTTTGTGACATGATATTGACATCTGCACCGGAATCAATTAAAAAGGTAACATTATTGTTATTGATAGTTAAAGTAACACACCACTGTTCATTGCATTTTACAGAATTGCATTCATATATGGAACCTAGAAAAAGTGAATTAATATTATTAGACATGGAATTAACTTGTTCAGTTAAACAATTGACATTTTTTCTATTTGAGAAACACATTTTAGAATAATGATTGAGTTTCTGACAAAAATTACATTTTACACCAATAGCAGGACATTTGTAGCGATGAATTTGACCACATTTATTACATGTTTTTTGTGACTTGTGGTGATGCTCTGACTGAAACTGATTACTAGACCTTTGGTAATATTGGGATCGATAAGGACTGCTAGCACGAGACGACTGTGGGGATGGACTACTATACCTCCGAGACTGATGACTATGAGAACTTTGACTTCGACTTCTGTTTGATTGTGTTTTGTTCCTGCGGTGAACACTGGCAATAGCAGACATTGTATTTGATCCTGATGATAATATTTGTGCTTCTTTTCTTGATATTTCTAATGATTTTGCTATATTAATTGCTGACTCTAATGTAGACGGAGATTCTTGTAAAATTTTTTCTTTGATATAATGGTAATTATCACTTAAGTTCCAGCTAAATATATCTTTAAGCAAATCATCATGTAGAGAACCAAAATTACATTGTAGTGCTATGTTCTTTAAATCTGTGACATAGGTGTCTAAATTTTCATTGGGCTGCTGCCTTCTATTGAAAAGTTGATGTCTTAGCATCGTAATATTGGCTTTCGGACTGAAATATTCTGTGAACTTGGCGATTAATTCATTTAATTTGACTTTCTCAATGTCAAGATCAAATGAGTAAAAAATAGTTAAACATTCTGGACCAATATAATGAAGAAGCAATGCTACCTGGCGATCCTCTGCTTCATTATCTAAATTAAATGCTTTTAGGTAGATTTTAAATTTGGTAATCCAGTTTTTCCAACTTAAAGATAGGTTACTTGACCGCGTGTTTAGTGGATCCAAGCGTCCTGTGGCTGATGTGCTTTTGGATTCCAGAGGTATGCCCTTTTCTGCCATTACTCACTGGTATTTGCCGTCGACAAATTTTCCACCCCACACCTGATGTTGTGGTTTCTTCAGTAATGATGGGTCTTCTTTATATTTTAATAAAACAATGTCTGTCTTGAATTGATACGCACTTTATTAGCCAGCCATGTTGGTGCAAGAGAGAGAGGGTGAGAGTGAGACAAAACATATTCAACGTTAGCGTTCCGATTCACCTACGTGACAATAGCAAGTAATGAAATCATACTTAATGCGATAGTTAAATGTTTAGTATCTTTAGGTAATAGAAAAGTACAAACCCCCTTAAATTCTAAGAAAATTAAAGAAATATTTATATCACATTTAGTTTAATGGATACTTATTTACAAATAGTTCAATTTAATATACAAAGTTTACCGAGTAAAAAACCTTTTCTGCAAATGCTCTTAACAAAAAAAATATTGATATTTGTTTATTAAATGAAACCTGGCTCAGCAACAACTCCAATATTCCTAATTTTCCTAATTACAACTTTATTTACAAAAATTCTCAAAACAGACATAATGGTGTGGGCATTTTAGTCAAACATGGTTTGAAATACACAATAGTAGATACTCATTTCTATGAGTCTATACAAAATGTAGGTATATCTATTAAAACTCAGTCAGGTGACATATCCATCTTATGTGTATACTGTCTACCCAACAGTACTCGATTTGATAATAAATTAAATAATATAATAAACAGTATTCCTAAACCATGCATTATCATGGGTGACTTTAATGCCCATCACATAGCTTTTGGGTGTCAGAGTAGTAACAATAGGGGCAATAGTTTTTATAGTATTGTAGATGACTTTGATCTATGCATCTTAAATGATGGCTCTCCAACCACTTGTCCATATCCCAATAGACAAGCCTCAGCAATAGACATAGCACTTGCTACTTCTTCAATAGCCCACTTATGCGATTGGCATGTCCATTCTGACCCCATGGGTAGTTACCACTATCCAACTTTCCTTCAGCTTAACATTCAACCATCTCTGTATGAAGTTTCACCTGTAGAAGAAAAATATATTTAAAGTAAAGCTGATTGGTTTAAATTCTACACAATGTCTGAAACCTGTTTCTCTGAATTGGATACTAAAAATGGTTTTGCATTAGAATTGTATAATAATTTTGTAAATATTTTAAATAAGTTAAGAGATATCACTATTCCTAAATGTAAACAGAATACCACCCCTAACATCCACAGAAAGCCAGCTCCATAGTGGAACCCAAAATGTGCGGCTGCTGTTAAAAAATCCAAAGAGGCATTAAAGTTTTACAAATCGAACCCAACTATAGACAATTTTATTAATTTGACTTTGACAGATTAACACCTATCTCTAGAATATGGAAATACATTAAAAAGTTTAAAAGGATAGGTAACAGTCTTAACAAACATTTTGAAGATGAATGGGTTCCAAGTTTCTTAGACAGCTTATCAGACTATTCTGACAATGATGAGGAAAGACTTATAAGTTTATTTAATAATTCGAAAGAAAATCAAATAAATTCCTTTTTGAATCAGCCATTTACGAAAAATGAACTGAACATATCATTACAAAGTAGATAAGACACTACACCAGGTCTTGATAATTTACCCTATATTTTGATTAAGAAAATTCATTCAAAAGCACAGGACATATTACTTAAAATTTACAATAAATTATGGCAAGAACTCATTATTCCTGAGACTTGGAAAACACAATGTGTTATACCAGTATTAAAACCAAATAAACCTAATAACATTGCTTTATCCTACAGACCCATATCACTATCATCATGTTTGGGAAAGCTCTTTGAAAATATGTTGAAGCTACGCTTAGACTACTTTTCTGAGTCTAATAACATAATTCCACCAATTCAGCATGGTTTCAGGAAAGGTCGGAGTTGCTCTGAAAGTTTTGTATCTTTAATACATGACATTAAACAAGTAAAATTAAGTCACTCAAACATGATATGTGTTTTCTTAGATGCAAAGGGAGCATTCGATAATGTAAATATACAAGAACTAATACAGGTTCTCCATGATGTTGGAGTACCTGGTAAAACATTAAAATGGCTTTATACATTTCTCAGTAATAGGACAGTTTATGTCAAATTCAATAATAGGCTGCATGGACCAAGAAATGCTAACAAAGGTACCATGCAAGGTGCAACTCTCTCTCCATTACTGTACAACTTGTACACTTCTGAAATATTAAAATATGTAAATACTGACCATGTAAATATTTTACAATTTGCCGATGACTTGCTTTTGTACAGCATTAATCAAAACATAAGTATAGCTCAAAATAATATCAATACTGCTTTAGAACAATTACATGCCTATTATTGTAATAAGCTGAAACTACAAATTAGTCCAGAAAAAAGTTCAGCCTTAGTTTTTAGTAAAAATAGTAATAACCTTGACATTTAATTTGACAATAATAAAATCCATATAGTAAATGATAGTGTTGCCGATATTCGACTATCGAGGATTAATCGATAGTCTATCGATAGCACAGAACAAGCCAATACTATCGGATGAGTGAAATACTATCGATACTATCAATAGTATTGTGGTTGGGTAATAAAAAACTATCGATAGTATTGTAGTTGGGTAATAAAAAACTATCGATAGTATCGATACTGTCGATTTTATTTGCAACTATACTATCGATAGTTTAACAATTTGCAATAGTATTGTTTACAATTTTCAGGTATTATAATCAATCACAATCAACTATGAGGATGTAGGAATAAATAATATCTAATAGTTTTTCCTTGCGTAATAATAATAACCTTGCATTATATTTATTTTATTATTTGACATTGCCTTCTAATTATTATTTCATAACATAAGTGTTGCTTTTATTACTTGGTTGCACTTTTTGTCTGAAATTGGCAACACAGTTTACTTGTCGTACTAAATTAACGAGGGTAGTATAAAATAAATAAGTAAGAATATTATTCTTTGGGTTTAGTGGTCAGTTCAATAGTGTTCGTTCGTTGAGTCTGTATTTAGTGGTAACTTAATTAAAACACATTTTATAAAAATGGAAGACGCACCTAAATTATCAAAAAAGCAAAAGTCATCAATGTGGACATACTTTGATAAAAGTGAAAATGGAAGCCAAATTAAATGTAAAATATGCAAGCGTGAATATAAGTATTGTAACAATACATCGAATATGAAGGATCACCTCCATCGAAAGCATCCTGAAATGTTACTGAATATGTCGATTTCTCAGAACGAAAAATGCGAAGTGGAAAATCTGGAAAGACTACCTAGAAAGTAAAATACTGTCATAATTCGTCCAGAAAGAAGATGTTAGATGAATTATTTGTAAAAATGATTGCATTAGATATGGAGCCCCTTCGCTTATCTGAGCGGGAAGGGATTAAAGAATTTGTCGCAGGGTTAGATTCGCGGTACGAATTGCCAGGAAGATCAACAGTGACTGCAAATCTTTCAAAATTATTTATGAAAATGAAAATTCAATTGTTGAAAATTGTTGAAGGGACCCGTTATGTAGCGATTACTGCGGACACCTGGACTTCCATGAGCAATCAAGGCATTCTTGCATTGACTTGCCATTTTCTCAAGGCAAACCAACTGATATCTGCTTTACTGGCTGCAAAAGTTGTCGAAGGGCATCATAATGCTGACAATTTAGCTTCCGTGAGTGTATTTTTATTTATATTAGTACATATAGTAAGTTTCGAGACTTTTCTGGGATTTCCAATTCGTGGATTATTCTCCCTCACCGGAAAAATCATCGAAAACAGTTCATCGAATTACAATTCTTCGAACACAATTCATCGAAAAAATAATTCGTCGAACAACAATTCTTCGAACGGTAATTCCCCGAAAAACAAAAAAGTAAACCATTCTGATCCAGACAACCCATTTATTGCCCCAGACGGTACTCACACGCAGAGGATCGAGTCCCAGTGGAGGGCTGTCAAAAGATATTTCAGAAAAGATAATTATAACCATCCGCACGATTTTGCAGATTCGATTGTAGAATATTTGTGGCGCAGAAACATAATTAAATATAAAAAAGACGCGTTTTTAGAAACAATTAATGCCATAAAACATGTATACAAAATAAATTAATGTGTAGAATTTCATGCTTTTTATATTTCATATTATTAGTGACAGAACCGAAGTGGGGCGGGGGGGCGCAGCCCCCGCAAGGAGGGCTCGGGGGGCGAAGCCCCCCGCAATGAATAAAGTGTAAAGAGTTCATTAGGTTAGGTTAGGTTAGTATGATGACCAAAAACGCGCGAGCCGAGCGAGCGGAGCGAGCGTGCCGCGGTAGCGGCCGGCGAAGCGCCAGAAACGACACTTTTGTACGTGCAACGTTTTTTTTCATACTTTTTCCCCTTTCGCCACCTCGTTTTAGCCTCCCTCCTGCTAAATTTTCATTTTTTTTTTGGAATTACCGTTCGAAGAATTGTTTTTCGACGAATTGTTTTTTCGATGAATTGTGTTCGAAGAATTGTAAGTCGATGAATTGTTTTCGATCAATTTTCCGCAAATCTTATTCTCGTCATTTGAAAATTTACATTGTTTTTTTTATAGTTTTTTAGTAATCTGGGAGGCTCTAGTTGAAATTATTATACAGCCATCTAAATTAAAAATAAGCACAAAAATCCGCTAGAAAAATATGAAAAGCTTTTAATAGGCTAGTTGACTCATGTCAAATTGCACTATACTAATGTTTATTTCTTATAATTTTTGGTATGAGGTTGAGGAGGTATAATTGGTGGTATCTAAAAACTCTTATATCTTGAAGAAAAGTTTCCATTCATTTGTTTTCTTGACTAAATTAATGCTGGACGCCGGATTTGTGAAAGTAGAAACGACAAAACTCTTTGACTTAGCAGGTACATTCATAACCTTAAAAATTGAAACCACAACATTTCTGGAGTTTTAACGATGTGTTTCTTTATTCTCGTATAATACAATCATGATAATTACAACATTTATCATGAAATCTATTAGAAATCATGGTTTTGTAATGTAAATTCAGATAGGTTATATCCAACGTGCTTGCGAGTGTTTGTTTACTATTGTTCTCGTCATACCATAGATAATCTATAGAATAAAGTGGCCGACAGCGGTTTTTCTATGTATGTCCATGAAAAATCTATTTTTAAATTAAATTTTTGTAGCTTTCTAGGTAAAAAAAAAATACAATACATTTTTTTTCGGTCTAATTGAACAATTTATTAACCATTTAAAACATATTTCCAAAAACTACTACTAACAGTTGGTTAAAGGATGTTATGAAAAAGATAATAATGAAGAGAGGAAAGGTGTATCCTTTTGTCCTGTTTTTAAATATTTGTGCTAATATTTTATAGAATAGGGCAGACCTCACCAATATATCACCTAATTATAATCAGTAAGATGGTAAGTAAGAGAGTTGAGCGCTGCTTTCCTTGAGGATGAAGGTTAATGTGTTTCTGTGGGAAAGCTTTCTTGAAGAAGATCCCTTATGTTTTGGTAATCACTCTCTCTTACCCTTCAAATCGTAAATAGGAGTTAAACTAACAGCATAGTTTAATTTGTATCTGTTTGCATTTTTATCAAATCATACATCTTTTTTCAGGTTATTTCATCGATTTTAGAAGAGTGGAACTGTCGCAACAAAGTGGTTGCCATTGTCACGGATAATGCACCCGTAATGATAAAAGTAGCAGAAAATCTAAAAATACGCCATGTTCCTTGTTTTGCACACAATTTAAATTTAATTATCAAAGATGCTCTTCAAAACGTTGAAAAATTGAAAGCTTTACTTGATAAATGTAAAGCTATTGTTACCTATTTTAGACACAGTACGTTAGCCTCCGACAAACTAAAGATAATTCAACGAGACCTGAATAAAAAAGAATTGAAATTAATACAGCATGTTGATACCAGGTGGAACAGCTCTTTACATATGCTAAGTCGGATAAAGGAAGTGCGCGACGAATTAACGCTCGCTCTTAATCAAAATCCTAATGCACCGCCGAACCTAACTGCAGATGAATACACTTACTTAGGCGAAGTCGAAAACATATTTGAGCCCATTGAATCTGCAACGGAAGCCATATCTGGTGAGGAATATGTTAAATTATCGTTGATAATTCCGCTAATAAAAGGAATCTTACTACATTTTGCTACGCTGGAAAAGGAACCGATGTCAGATTTTGCAAGAGCTGTCCTAGAAAATATAAAAATATCAGTAGCCTCAAAATTGAAGCCGTATGAAAAGAGATCTCCTTGCATTATATCAACGCTATTAAATCCACATTTTAAAAAAATGGGTTTTAGGACTGACGCTGATGTTGACAGGGCAATTCAATTTGTCCAAAAAGAATATTCATCATATTTGGCAACATTGGATAAAGCGTCATCGCCCCCATGCCCAGATGGAAACTATGATCTAGAAAGTTCATCAGAGGGAATGCTAGTTCCGCACAAAAAATCAAAACGTAGCGATTTGCTTTCATATCTTCAACCTCAAAGTCAAACAAGCAACACAAATCCCACTGCAGACGCAATTGTTGACATAAGGCAATATGTTGAGAAACCCATCATACCCAGATCTAGTTATCCCATAGAGTATTGGTCATTTAGTCAAAGTAATTTGAAGCATATTGCATTAAAATTCTTATGTATACCTGGAAGCTCAACACTAGCGGAAAGAGTTTTTTCAAAGACTGGACAAATAGTAATTGAACGTCGTAATCGTTTATCAGGCGACTACATAAACGAACTACTTTTTATAAATCAAAACAACAAAATTCTCAAAAAGTAGTTATATTTATTAAGTAAACACGGCATTGATTCAAATATTATTTTAATTATGACGATTTATATTTTTTGTGATCCACTTTATGATTGAAATTTATTTGTAAATCTAAATGGTAGATTAGTGATTGAAACTTGAACTTCATTCACTAATCTGTTTGAAAATTTTCTATTACTTTTTAAATTTCAGCCATTAATTTAATTTTTTTAGACGGGGGTAGTTTTTTAATTTCTTCAGCTACTATATTACCAAAATGGTAGTGAACAGATGATTTGTTATTTACATTTTTTGAAGTTATACTTCTTTAGGCGCGTTATGAAAAAATGATGAGAGTGAAATTTTAAGATGCGCGCGCATCACTGTAACACACAAAAAGCGACCAACTTCATGCTGTTACTTTTGTGTTTACCGCACATTTAGAAAATCTACCAACAAAATAGAAATAGAATCTCTATTTAGTGGGTGCTAACGACTGCATTGTGAAGGCCTATCAAAAGTATTTATTAATCTGGAACAACGGAACCATAGCGCGATTCAGGAGACTACAGCGCCATCTCTTGACCATTGGTGTAGTAGAACCAAAAACCACATCTTTATTTTTTGTAATAAAGTAACAGTTATAGGTATTCACATTTATAATATTTATCCACATGTTTCTAGTTTGTATATTCGGAATACGTGTTTGAGTTTCATGCAAGTGCAAATCACATATGTTCTAATAAATTATATTCAGTAGCGATTTTAATTGAATATTTTGATTATTTATTTATTTTTTCAAATTAAAACTGAACTTTATTGACTGTGTCCTTTTCCAGACTTTTTATTAATTTATTGTAATTAATTATTTGCATGCAATTAAAAACTAATTTTAAACGATGCCAAAGAAGGATAACTTCTCACGCGCCTACATAAGTACACGCACCCATTTTTTTGTTTCATCAGGCATAGTTTTTACGCTAATATCCACGTTTTTTTCTTGGAATTCATCCTCAGTTTCGCTGCTGTCAAACTCCGTCTGAGCATCGTGTGTACATTTTTTGGTGCATTGATGCAATTTGATTTTTTTGGTTCTAGAATACCCAGTTCCAGTTGTACATCTAGTAGATATATCTGTTAAATACGTTTTGTTTGTACAACTGTCAAACAAATCTTCAGAATCAGTTTGACTTTCAGGAATCATCGTTATTGATTTATCTAGAAAAATAAAGACAAATAAATGAAAATCGCTTCCACTTGTTTCTTTATATAACAACACCTCTAGTGAAATTAAAAATTAATTTGTACAGACAAATTTTCATTATATTTTGTTACTTCAGCATGGATATTTATGTAATTTGTACCTGCTACCTGTGACCTGCTCGATTATAACTTATATCATACTTCAATACAACTTCTTACAACATACTTCAATTATTTAAGTAATAGGTACAGAAATACTTACTTACATTTATGTGTCATTTCAAAACGCTGCTTCTTTTCTTATAAAATAGTAGAATTAGCACAGCTCGATACAAATGTTTATAAAAATATATATATCGACCTCTAATAGTCCTCAACTACAATACTGTTAAAACATACCTAATACTATTGCAAATTGGTAGACTATCGATAGTCTAAAACAATCGCTAGTATCGATATTATCGATAGTATTGTTGCAGATAAAATCAACGGTATCGATAGTATCGATACTATCAATAGTTTGTTATTAACGAACTACAATAGTATCGATAGTATCGATACTATTGCACTCATTCGATAGTATTGCCTTGTTCTGTGCTATTGATAGTTTCGATACTATCGATTGTATCGATTCTATCGATAGGCCTATCGATAGGGTACATGATTTTCGATGTAAACTGTCGATAGTTTTCATATCGATAGTTCGGCAACACTAGTAAATGAGCATAAATTTTTAGGTGTAATTATTGACAACCAATTAAAATTTGACAAGCACATAAGTCACATTAGTGCCAAGGCATTCAATGCCTAGGTATCAACATTTTGAGGTATTTGGCTGGAACATTCTGGGGTTCAGATCCCAGAATAATGAGCATGTTGTACAAAAGCATAGTCAGAAGCCATTTCGATTATAGTAGCTTAGCTTATAACAATACTAGCAGCTCTCTGCTAAAAAGGCTTGATGTAATACAAAACATTGGCTTAAGGTTAATATGTGGTGCAATGAGGTCTATAGACCAGGGTCGATAATTTTTAAGACCAAAAAAAATTATAGTAGGATGAAACCCATTAGAAAAGGTAGAGAATATAACAAAAATGAAAGGAAAAATAAATTACGGGCGATCTGAGGTCGGGAAGGGGTGAGTTTTTAAGGGTAAAAAATGGTTAATCTCGATTTCCGGTAAAACTGCAAGTCCTATGAAAAAAAGTAAAATGGCAAAGTTGTAGGTAATAAAAAGGTCTACAACTTTTGTATCGACACTTTTTTCACATAACCTCAAAATTTATGGGAAAAATGCGAATAACCGAGTTTTTGGTTTTTGATTTTTTATTTTTTGCAAAAAAAAATATTTTTTCACGAAATTTGGTGAAAACTTACCTTTGTATGTCCCAAACATACAGTAATTTTTTGGATTTAAAATATTCATTTTTCACCTTATTTTGACTTAATATCGAAAAAGCACCCTTATTTTCAATCGAAAATTCTCACGTCAAAATATCTGCTTTTTTAAAAAAGTTGGCATGTTTTTTAGTTTGTTGAAATCTCTACTTTCTGATGGTATAAAAAAATATACACTACTATGGTAAATGTTCTCAGAAACTGCAAATTAATAATGAAAAAAACTCCAATCCGAAAAATTTATTTGAATCATTATGTATAATTTTGAACTATTTATTAAAACTTACACTTTAATTACTCGAAAAACGTAAGATTTCATGTTATATTGATAAACAGAAACATTACAAATCCATAAAACATGCAAAAATAGTTGCTGTAAGTAGGTATTAAAAATAGAATTTTGGGATTCGAGTTTTTTTCATTATTAATTTGCATTTTCTGAGAACATTTATCATAGTAGTGTATATTTTTTTTATACCATCAGAAAGTAGAGATTTCAACAAACAAAAAACACCCCAACTTTTTTAAAAAAGCAGATATATTGACGTGAGAATTTTCCATTGAAAATTAGGGTGCTTTTTTGATATTAAGTCAAAATAATTGAAAAAATTAATATTTTAAATTAAAAAAAAATACTGTATGTTTGGGACATACAAAGGTAAGTTTTCACCAAATTTCGTGAAAACATAATTTTTTTTGGAAAAAATAAAAATCAAAAACCAAAAACTCGGTTATTCGCATTTTTCACATAAATTTTGAGGTTATGTGAAAAAAGTGTCGATACAAAAGTTGTATACCTTTATATTACCTACAACTTTGCCATTTTACTTTTTTTCATAAGACTTGCAGTTTTACCGGAAATCGAGATTAACCATTTTTTACCCTTAAAAACTCACCCCCTCCCCCTTCCCGACCTCAGATCGCCCGTAATTTATTTTTCCTTTCATTTTTGTTATATTCTCTACCTTTTCTAATGGGTTTCATCCTACTATATTTTTTTTTCACTTTTCACCATTTTTAAAATTATCGACCCTGGTCTACTACACCTATTAACTCTTTGGAAATAGAAACATGTATACCTCCTTTGTTCCTTAGGCGTTTACAGTTGGCAGAAAGATTTTGCTTAAAAACTTTGTCATCATTTAATATCCTTTCCAAAAAGTTTGAAAGCATTTGCAATATTCTTCAGTCAGCATCAGCTGTAAATATAACATCTAAATCACTTGCCACTGCTCCTGAAATTGTAAAAATATACACTCATGTTAAAAATCAGTCTCAAAACATACATAAAAGTGATATTTGGCCAGTTTATATATGCCCTTTCAAAGGGCTCATTAATGTTAATACTGATACAGTTTACTTAGGTAATATATTAAATAAAAATGACTTTATGCAATTTAAAGCTATAAAATGTTATAGCTATTTTATTTATACAGATGGCTCAAAAAATGAATATAATGTTAAAGCTGCTTTATATGATCCACAAGGCAATTATACTTTGACCATTCAATTAGATTCTCAGTGCAGTATCTTTACAGCCGAATGTTATGCAGTATACCAAACATTAGTTTTTGTAAATAAGAAAAGTTTAAAATAATAATGGGCTCCCATGTTTTAAAAGTAATTACATTTTGTATAATATTGTACATTTAATAGAAGAACTTAGAAATAAGTACATTAATGTGGAATTCTGTTGGGTTCCTTCACACAGTGGCATAGAAGGCAATGAAATAGTAGACAGTCTCACACACATAGATCCTGATGAAAACCATTTTATCTAATTTTGAAAGTTCCTTTCACAGATTTCAAACCGATATTCAGGAATAATTTGTACAAGTTATGGAAGGATTACTGGAATATCACATTACAGTCTAAAGGAAAATGGTTAGCAGACATTCAGAAGGATATCCCAAACAAACCTTGGCATGAGAGGTTCAAATACAGAAGCAGAAAATTTATAACGGTTATTTCCCGTATGCGTCTCGGACACTGCCTGACTCCAACACACATGCACAGGATCAAGATTTTTAGCAGTGCTCAATGTCTCCATTAGGGTTGCAACGATATATAGGAATATCGATATTATCGATAATATCGAGACCAAAATATCGATTTTTAAAATTCACTGATATCGATAATATCGATATCGGAAATTCCAAAATATCGATATTTCGTAGACTAAATTTGAACACAATAATATCAATTAATTTACCTGATATGTCTATCTACATTGAATAATATCGACATAACTATTGCTTTGAAATCGCAAGAGCTTATATATGTATTAAAAAAATCTTGAACCCCAAGAAATATACTAAACTGGTGTGGATTCTGGCATGATTCTCTAAACCTAAAATTAAATTTGACAACAGTGTATCCTTGTCATTCTCTATAAGAATGAATAGGAGAGACTGATGTTAAATTTAGTTTTAAGTTTAGATAAATAGCCAGAATCGACACCAACGTATATAGGTATAATCGTATACCTAATGGTAACTCATGCACTTAAATAAAATCCTTGCCTCTCTTTCTAGATAATTGTCAACTACTGATTAATTGAAATTTAATATCATTGAAATATAACACAAAATAAAATTAAGAATCTTATACAAATCGTAAATTTTTTAAGCTCGCCAAGTCAAGAAAGTAAGATAGGTATAGTAATTTTGGAAGCTTTGGGCTTACCCTATTCTGAAGCCATGGGCTGCTCCTG